ACAGAGTTAAAGTGCAGAAGCAGCCATAGTCTCTGTATTTATTTTTGTCTCCAGGAGTTGGCCTGACTTACGATTTATGATGATTACTTTTCTGTTAGAAAGACTGGGAGTTCTTCAGTGAATCCTGGTGTTTGCTAAACGATAAACAAAATGCTTAATTTAAAAGAAAACAAAAACTCCAAGCACTTTGTGATACCTTAAACTTAGTGTACGGTAGATTGGTTTCCTGCATGGTATTTCCCAACAATGGAATGTTGGGAAAGTTAATGGAAAGGGTGAGAAAGTCTAGGAATTCTTCTATTAGTTAGGCAAGAGTTTAAATTACTTTATAAAAACCCCAAACCAACCCTCCACCCAAAAACTCAAAATCAAAACCAAAAAAACACCAAAACCCACAGCCAACCAACCAAACAGATCCCACTACATTATTATTTTGCTTTTACATGAGAAGCTATTCTTGTCAAAGACATTGGAACGAATGCGTTAATTCTGGTAAATTCTATTATAATTCATGTCTGTTCCAAAGCATATTCTTAATAAGTCTGCGTGGGATAAAGTTCTGTTGCTTTCTTCATAGAATATATAAATTTTAAAAGTGAAAATCAATGCCGCGCTTTAACCAAAACTTTGTGTTTTGGGATGGTATGTTCACAGGATAAACGTCTTGTTCCTGGAGGTGGTGCAACAGAGATTGAGTTAGCCAAGCAGATCACATCCTATGGAGAGGTACAGCAAATGGGCACTTTATTTCTTTTTTTATACAACTTAGACACACATATATACTTATTTAAATATATATGTGACTTATACAAATATATACATATTATTTTATACCTAAATTTTTTAAATGCTGACATGGTTTTCGACTTTACTTCAGACTTGTCCTGGGCTTGACCAGTATGCCATCAAGAAGTTTGCTGAGGCGTTTGAAGCCATTCCTCGAGCACTGGCAGAAAACTCTGGAGTAAAGGCTAATGAGGTCATCTCCAAACTTTATGCTATGCATCAGGAAGGGAACAAAAATGTTGGATTTGATATTGAGGTAAATAGTCTTTTGCATTACTTGGTGCTTTGCCATACAGGGTTATATTTAATATATACATAATTCATACTGATAGAAGTACTTTAAATCACTGAATTTGTGTTGTATGGTCTAGAAGAATAACTTCTTAGAGTTGTAATAATCAGCCAGCAAGCAGTTAAATTCAGTGTAGTATAGTAGCCTTCTGTTGAAGGTAAAGTGAGATACTGAACTGATGTGATAGAGAATAAGTCTTTAGTAATTACTTAGTCTTCCTGCTAATGGATTAGAAACAAAGGTTTTCCGAAGAGAGATTAGAAAAGTGATAACTTGTTTTAAACCTGTAACGTTCAAAACCCAGTAACTTGCTATGTAGAAGCCTGAGGAGGTTCTGAACAATGTTTTCACCCTGTCTGATAGGCTGAAGCTGCTGCTGTGAAGGATATGTTGGAAGCTGGTGTACTAGACACATACCTTGGAAAATTCTGGGGTATAAAGCTGGCTACGAATGCAGCAGTAACTGTCCTAAGAGTAGATCAGGTAAGATTACAAGTAATTTGGGCACTGAATTGAAATCTTGAATTAAATGTGCAGAACATGTGAATCTTCTTGGAATGCAAGATAGAAAAATAGAATACTTGAAAATGTGGTTTGTTTATTGCTGAAAGCCTGGAAGTTGCTCTCTAAAGAGCTCATAATTTGGAATGTTGTAATGTTGCCACTTCCATAAGATCACTTTTAATGTTTTTTTTTTTTTTTTTTTTAAGATTTGACATTTTGATACTCGTAGTCCAGAAAGCTGTCCTAACTTTTGTAGAAGCAAGATTTTTAACAGAAGAAACCTTCTGTCATATATTGTTTTCACAGGAAAATCCAACTTTTAGGGAAAAGAGATGTTATAATCTTAATGATAAAAATGTTAAGTTTCTATATTTTGTGCAACTTTAGCAAAAAGATATTTGCATGTAAAATTTCTGTAGATTATTATGGCAAAACCAGCAGGTGGTCCAAAAGTCCCTAAGCAACAAGGACATTGGGATAAGGATGACTGGAAAGACGAGCCTGAAAAATAGTGTGCAGTAAGCTGTCTCTAGCAGAGAGGTATCTGTGTGTGTGGGCACATGCATGAGTATATATTGACAAGCACATGGCAGATGATAACTTTCTTGAGGACATGTGACACTGCTGTCTTAGGTGTGCTGATTGCTACATTTTGTATTTATGCCTTTGCAAAGGAATTCTAAACCCAAGCTTCGATTAAGTGATGACATGTGCAGTTTTAGCTTTGCTTGTTGCTATCAAAAGTACAGAAAAAGAGTCTTTCACATTGCAGGACGGGTGGACTTTAGGCATTTAAAGTGTTAGTGAAGTTTAGACTACAATTCAGACTAATAATTCTGATAATTCTGCTTTCTGTGGTGTGCATTCTGGAAAACCATCACTCCTATTTTTGCACTCTCTTTCTGTAGACTAACCATAATTTGCATGCAAAAATGAGGTAAAAGCCCTTTTCTTGTGTATCAGGGCTCAGCTTCTGCTATTTACAAAAAAAAAACCAACCCAAACTAATGTGCGAGTATCTCAATTTGATGGATAAAAATAAGATTGAGGCTTAGGTTCAGACTAGGGAAGTTGCATTACTTTTAGTGAATGTTGACAGAATCATAGGGCTGTAAGAGTCTGATTCTAACCTTTACCTTTTTCTGTTCCCTGTTATCTTTTAAGATCATTATGGCAAAACCCAGTGGTGGCCCAAAACCTCCATCAGGAAAGAAGGATTGGGATGAAGACCAAAATGCTTAAACGATTTAAATATACTTCTTAAGTGACATATTGAGTTTTTTGATATTCCAGCCAGAGCCTGTCATGATGTTTTGCTCTGTTGCCTTTAAGTTATGAATTGTGTCTGATGGAGTGCAGAACTTCAGACACACCAATAAATATACTTGCTGTTAAAACATTAACTGTCACATTATTTGGACTTAGCATGATGTGGTTATTCCCAGGCATTTGTGTGTGGGTTGACCTTCCTCACCAGGATAGGGGCAGAAAGGTGAAAAAGCTCATGGGCTGAGGTGGAGACAGGGAGATCCCTAATTACTGCAACAGGCATGTGCAGAAAATTATTACCAATTAAAAAGGAACGGGAGGGTGAGAAGGAATTAAATCCAAACTATGTTCCTGTCCACCTCTCCTTCTTCCCAGGCTAAGATGTATTCTTTATTCCAACTCCTCTACCTCTTCCCTGCACTTGAGCGCTGAAAGGGGATGGAGAATGGGGGTTGTGGTCAGGCTATAACAGCACCTCTTCACTGCTCCTTCCTATGCACACTTTTCCCCTCCTCCCCTACCATGGTATAGTCCTTGTTGAGCTGCTTCAGCATGGGGGTCCGCTGTAGGTTGTAGTTGACCAGGAGCAACTGGCTTCTGCAGCAACACTTGCCCCAGTGTGGGTTCCTCATTGCAGACTGCAGCTTTCTTCAAGGCACACATTCCTCTGACTGTCCTGGGAGCCTCCTTGGCTGCAGTGTGGAGGCCAGTATGGTCCTCTCTGAGCTGCAGGTGGACAACTTGCTTCAGCATGGTCTCTCCAGGGGCTGTGAGGGGTGCCTGGAGCTGCTCCTCTCCGGTGCTTGCAGGGCTGCTTCTCGCACTTTCCCCTTCAAGCCCTGACACCGTTTTGCTTTCTCCAAGGTGCCACCCCCTTGGCTGAAGGGCTCAGCTGTGCCCTGGTGTGGGTCTATTAGAAGTGGCTGTGTTTAGCAGCAGCCATGCCCAGCCTCTCCTCAGAGGCCACAGCTGCACCCAGTATAGTGGATGAGGGGAGACTGAGCCTACTGCAGGAACTTCTGGAAAGCATAATCTAATTGTTGGAGCTCTTCACTGTACTCCTTGCCCAATATTTGAGTGTAAAAAGTCAAATATTGTAAGAAAGAACCAAGTATGGCAAAGGGTTAGTTTATTTTTGTTTTATATATCAGCTTCATTGTCACCCTTTACAGAGTCTCCATGCTCTCAAAATGGCAGCGTGACTGCCGTGAACTGCATCTCATTCTAATGGCCTTAAAAATAAAGGCTGGGCAGCACTAGCTAGCATGATGCAGAATACCAGAATCTTTCAAGCGAAGCCCTCTGTTAAGATTCTTCTTGGAAAGTAAACGGCTTGTGTGTCTTGGAGTAAGTTGAAAGGAGAACTGCACTTGAAATTCAAGTCACTTCAATAATTAATGCTTTTATTACTCTTGCCAGTGCTACTGTTTCACAGCCAGAAGGGAGTGGAAGGCTAAATCAAGTCTACAACTATCTTATGCCTAAATAAGGCTGCCACACAGCAGCTACACTAATGCTTGCTTTATAGTCCATTGCTGGTGTGGCCAAAAAATAAACTCAGCAAGTTTTCAGGATTGGCATACTGATAACAGTCAGCTGCACAAGTGCTGCTGCTGCTGACTCTAAGGGTAACAAGAACACGTTAAGACTGCCCATTTCGTTAGTGAGGTTGTGAAAAATGCACTGAATGTAAGCAGCTGCTGCTCTAGCATGGACAAGCCAAGATTTTATTTATGTGAAACCCAGTGTGAAGCCTAGCCTGTGGAGAAGAGAACTTTATAGTTACAAGTCACTGCAGGACTAGTTTTCTTACCCCTCCCCAGTGCAGAAGGAATGCCTGTAGCAAAAGGGAGAGAGACCCAAGCTCTCAGCCTTGCCAAAATACCAGCAACATTCCCATGTAGAAGAATTCCCAGAGAGTTTGCACACCAGGAATGACACTATTGGGCATAAACCAACAGTGGAAAAGGAGGTGATGCTGAATTGGTCTCAGCTTCTACTTGGAACCCAGTTCTAAAATACACTTAGATGATAGCCAAGAGAACTAGTTTAAAATTGAAGTGTAAGCTGACTGAAATGTATAGCACGTGCAGGAAACTAAAAGTAGTGGTTCCTTGTCTGTGCCAATGCACTCAACACAAACTTAACATTGTAATTTTGTAAAAGGCCTTTATTTAAAAGCAGTGAAAACACTGGGAAAAGTATAAGTTAACCACTTGTCAGCATGTCTAAGAAGCATAAAGTATATTCCTTCAGTTGTATACAGTAGCTACAACATGTTAAGACCATGATTTGCAAGTCTTGCTTCTTTCAGACCACCTGAAGATAACCACCTCTCAACACCTATAAGAAGGTTTCTCAGATGAGTTAAAGGAGTCGCTCATAAAAGAGAAGATAGGCTTGAGAGCTCAGCACTTTTGACACAGACACAGCTTGTACGTGGGTGTCACTGATGTGGAACCACTGCCCTTTTACTGGTTCAGTTTCTAAAGCTGTGAAAGGAAGAATTTAGGAGTAAAAGTTATGAAGAATTGAAGCAATCAATCCTGTACTGTTGTGTGGTAAGAATTTGTAAAATATTTCAAATTATTTACCTTGAGGAGATTGCCCTCGAAGGACAAGATCAGAGAGATGGTTGTTCATACTTCGCATTTTAGCATATGCAGTATAGTGCCCAGACCTCATTGTTCCACTGTGCTCAACAACTCCATAGAGAGAGTACAATACTTTTGTATTCCCTTCGGCCACATTCTATAAAAGCAGAAGTTTAGACATGCCAGTCAGGTACTGGGTTTTAAGCAAGGCTAGAACGCAAACTCTTCACTTTGCTCTGATCTGCTTGCTAATGAAAGTGAAGCTGGTCATTGCAGATTCATGCAAGCACTACAGCTATGGCCAATGGACAATACTCTGACTCAAGTATAAGCTGCACTTGTAAGTTACCCTGTATTATCACACAAAATAACTGAAGCTTGACAAGCATTCTACAAAGATCCTGCTAAACAGCTTAATCATGAAAGCTTGTTAGAACATGGGAAAGGAGAATCTGATTGTTTTCCCACTTACTTTACATTTAGCTGTACAGAAAGGAGCCAAGTCTATCACTTCTGGAAACTTGATATGCCTGTTAACCTTCCGGAGATTAAATCCAGCCTTAAACAAAGTAAAATCCCATAAAGTTAAAATGTAGGTATTAAAACCACGCTTAGTTACTAAATGTTTTGGGTTGAAGTTTCAACAATAAAAAAATCAGGTTTACATTACACAAAACTAGGGAAAAAGCAACACTTCTTTTTCTCTCCAATGCCCAAGGTTTACCAGCAGTACCTCCTGGCCCCCACATGCTGCGCTGGAACACAAGTTAACATGGCTCTTCAACTCACTCTTATGGTAACTTAAAGGTAGCAAAAGTAGAGAAAGAATCAGCTCTAATACACTTATGTAACTATGAGGACATCTCTTGCTTCTCAGATACTGTGATATGCTTGAGGATCTAATTTTATATTGTCAGAACTGATGTAAATTCTACTCCTGCCCTATGTAAATAATCTTCCAGTATCAAACTAGAAAAACAAAAGGAGATGACAAATGTTATTTTCTTAATTATGTTACAGTCTCTTGGAATAAGCTACATATTTCCATTTTCTCTATGAAATTGTTTTTCATTTACTTAAAGTTACCTCCCTTATTTTTCAAGCTTTTTGACCAAAGCACTGAACAGCTTTAAATTCGGAAGAGGCAATACTGTGTCCGATCCCCATCCCATTCCTCTTTTCTTTCTTGAAAACCTAAAGCCCTAAAAGTTTTCCTACAACTTGGAAAAAAACATAAACCACTTTACTTCAGTGTCTATAAATAAGACTCAAGTTGCATTGCTCTCCATTCTCCATGCTTCACCACCATCACCTCGTAAGGCTCAGAATCTTTTCCAATTTTATGGACCTATTTGTTACACTCACTTAGTAAGGGATCTTATTCTATCTGTATTGAACTGCTGTAGTAGAAGGAAACAATTAATACCAAGATGCTGCTTAATCCAGTAAGCAGTAACAACAGTGAGGGAATGTATTGCAAATAAGCTCATAAAACAGTGTTTTCCAGGTAACTAATGGAATATTCTTTCGGGAAGATACACCCCAGCTCCTCAAAGGCCACAAAAAACAATGCTGCACACCAATGCCTTCTGAACATTGGAAAAAAAAACTTAAACCAAAACAGTCTCTCATGAAAATATGCTAACATTAGATTTAAGTTAAGCTAGTATTATGTGCATATATACATATTAAACTGATACTGTGTACATACGCATTTTTGTGGTTATCAGCCTGCTACTTACCTGTTGAAACCTTTTTAAGTGAAGAGTTAAAACTGGAGGAGCAAGAGAGATTAGCATCTGCTTTTTGGCATTAGTATAAATATATTTTTCACCTGCAGAAAAGAAAAACCACCAATGATTAATGTCTAAACAAACGTTACACCAAGAATTTATTTTCATTATTTAGGCTGCTGTAATGTAATCTATTACAACTGAGAAATGGAATATTCCCCCTTAAGCTGATTAACTGTACAACAACTGCCATCTTGCAGATTCCATATAAGAAAAGTAACCCCTCATGTTACTAAGCAATGTCTGCACAAGCAGGATGAATTCTCCCCCTTCTCCACAAGTCTCATCATCAGAAATTGCATGCAGCTCTTACCGTCCTTTTGTGCAAACACCAACAGGATTTCCCTATTACTGTCTCAGCAGAATTTTGGTATTTAAGGAGTAAACAGGAAAAAAAGTCACCTGCTAAATCTCTACTCCCTACATTTACTCACAAAATTTATGTTTAGACTGCAGTGCCCTTTTCCTCCAACCAAATCCAAACCCACTCCTCTTTTTCAGTCCTGCAGTATTCTGTACCTGAGCTTGTGAGCCTATTATTCTGCTCATTTAAGAACTTACTTGTATTAATCTGTATGAAAAAAGGTTCTTACAACCTACCCACTGAATACTAGTTCCACGTATCCAAGTTAAAGTTACACCAATGCCACTTTAGGGATATTGCTCTCCACTCCCTCACCCACCCAAGCAGCAGATAGGGACGTATTTAGAATATTTGTTTTCTTAAAGATAATTTGTCATACTTTTTATGTTCTTCTTTGGTCCATGTCTTTGTGTACATACATCACACAGTAGTTTATTGGTCTCAGTAAGTTTTTCATTACGGGTAAACTGATACAAACAGTGATGGATTGAACCTTCTTCCAGGTTCAGATCTTCCCTATTTGCAAGAGTACAAAATGCTGTTTCTGGATCTTCAGTCAATACTTCACATGTCTTGATGGGAACAGACTGTAGGTCATCTAAGGTACTCATATCAGATTCAGTATTGGCACCCAAATGTAGTTTTGTAAAGTCAGAAGCAAGTTCTTCCTCATTATTTTCATCATCTTCATCTTTCAAAGATATATTGTCAAGTCCATTGACTAACTCTCCAGGACAATCTAAGCCTTCCATAGGGAGGTCCCTGAGAGACTCCTTTTCTTCACACTCCTGTTCTGGCTTTCCTGTATTTTCATGCATGCTCTGAACTTCTACACTATTTCCCTGAATACTCAAGTCTTTTTGAGTTAAGCAGCAATCTTTGCAATCATTTGATGACTTGTCTTCTTGCTTCGTATCAGGCATTTCAGAGTCAATTTCTGCCTCTGATTCTTGGTTGTATTCAACATCTTTTTCTGGCTGTTCAGTTGCACAGATACCTGTCAAGTGAAGCACCTTTCCTTGAAGTTTTTGTTGACGGCGTTGGCTCTGCAAATTGGAATACGTAACATAGAAGAACACAAAAACCAGAGCAAGTTTAAAATATATTTAGCATTTATTACCATTTATCAAAATTTTTGTAGCATGCCATAGATGCATAGGGTGGGAAAGTATGATTTAATAACCAGAGGTGACTAATATACTGAATTTATTCCCACTGAGACAGGCTGAGAGAGCTTGTTCAGCCTGGAGATGAGAAAGGCTCTGGGAAGACCTTCTAACAGCCTTTAAGTACATAAACAGGGCTTACAAGAAAGCTGGAGAGGGACTATTTTACAAGGGACTGTAGTGACAAGACAAGGGGGAATGGCTTTAAACTGAAAGAGGGGAGATTTAGATTGGACTTAGAAAGAAATTCTTCACTGTGAGGGTGGTGAGGCACTGTCACAGGCTGCCCAGAGAAGCTGTGGCTGCTTCATCCCTGACAATGTTCAAGACCGGGTTGGATGCAGCTTTGAGCAACCTGGTCTAGTGGAAGGTGTCCCTGCCCGTGGCAGGGGGGTTGGAACTAGATAGGCTTTAAGGTCCCTTCCAACCCAAACCATTCTGTGATTCTATGCTATAGTTCCCAATGCTTCTTGTTACACAGTATCTTCAAAATACATTCAGGATTCTCCTTAGAACACAGACATAAGTGTCCTGGGTTCAGCAGTAGCAGTCATTTTTCCCCTCCTTGGTAGCTGGTGCAGTGCAGTGTTTTGACTTTCAGCCTGGGAACAGAGCTGATAACAAGGACGTTTTGGTTTGGCCAAGGACTTTGTGAGCCTCATGCTCTGCCAGGGAGGAGGGGAAGCCGAGAGGAAGCAGAGAGAGGACACCTGACCCAAACTGACCAAAGAGGTATTCCATACCACAGCACGTCATGCCCAGGAGGTAACTGAGAGTCAGCCAGAAGGGCTGGGAGACTGCAGGGTTGGAGGAGGTATCGGTCGGAGCTTGGTCGGGCTTGGGGGGCAAGTTATCGGTCGGCTGGTGCTGAGGTGTTGTATTCTCTTCCCTTGTTATTTCCTTTATTATCATTGGTGGTAGCAGTAGTGATTTGTGTTATACCTTAGTTACTAAACTGTTCTTATCTCAACTCGTGGGAGTTGCATTCTTTTTGACTCTCCTCTCCATCCCTCCAGGAGCAGGGGGAGGGAAAGAAGGGGGGGAGTGAGTGAACGAGTTACCTGACTGGGTTTAAACCACGACAATAAGAAACGATATAGTTTTGTGAGTATTCTTGCAATCAACGACTAGAGAACAGCTGTCTGAAACAAATTAATTACTTCATACAAGCATCAAAATTCCACATTCCTCTGGGTATTAGCTTATATATAGCACAGCAACTCTTAACAGAATATATAACTTCTTAATAGCAATGATGTAGATAAAATCAGTCTTATCAGTTGTGCATTTTACAGAGTAGAAGTTCTAAGCGGTCTCTACCTAATCTGAAGAAGCAAAAATAATTTGTTTTACTGAAAGTTGCAAGCACTTCATTAATAAAAGTGAAATACTGATCAAAACCAACCTTGGCTTGTTTTCTGGCCTGTTTCTTTACTTTTTTCTGAAGGTGCTTACTTGTACCAGGGGGCTCATCTCTCTGCTTAAGGTAACAGTCATCATTTTTGTTCTCTTCATCTTCAGATTCCTTTTCTTTGTTTTTCTTAATGTTTCTCTCATTTGTATTTTTTACTTTCTATGAAAAAAAATGCAAAAAGCCACAAAACCACCACAGAAGTAGAGATGTTACTGTCCCGAATAACAAAATAGTATTCAAAAGAAAACTATGAATGCGATGTTATGTGAGTTTTCAGCTCAAGAGAAAGCATTTTAGAGACTATAACATACAAGTAACTCATTTATCCTACCCTAATATTTACAAAAGAAGTGTCTCACTCCAGAGGGAGCCCACGTGAAACAATGAATTCCAGAATGAAACAGTATGAAAAACCAAGGGCCAAATTCTGAACCTGTAAAGGGGCAACATTACCTTTGGCTCTAACAGATATAAGTCTCATTAAATGCACTGAGGAGTAACATTTTACACAAACAGAGAGACATTTGTAGTTGAACTGCCTGCCACAGAATTTGTCTGCTTCTGCTATGATAAAATTTGTTTGTTGCAGAAGACATATATCCTGGGTTCAGCAGTAGCAGTCATTTTTCTCCTTCTTGGTAGCTGGTGCAGTGCAGTGTTTTGACTTTCGGCTCGGGAACAGAGCTGATCACAATGATGTTTTGGTTTGGCCAAGGACTTTGTGAGCCTCATGCTCTGCCAGGGAGGAGGGGAAGCCGGGAGGAAGCAGAGACAGGACACCTGACCCAAACTGACCAAAGAGGTATTCCATACCACAGCACGTCATGCCCAGGAGGTAACTAGGAGTTAGCTGGAAGGGCTGGGAGACTGGGGGGTTGGAAGAGGTATGGGTTGGTGCTTGGTCGGGCTTGGGGGGGGCGAGTTATTGGTCGGCTGGTGGTGAGATGTATTCTCTTCCCTTGTTATTTCCTTTATCATTATTATTATTGGTAATAGCAGTAGTGGTTTGTGTTATACCTTAGTTACTAAACTGTTCTTATCTCAACCCGTGGGAGTTGAATTCTTTTTGACTCTCCTGACCATCCCTCTGGGAGTAGGGGGAGGGCAAGAAGGGGGCGGGGGGGAAGTGAGTGAACGAGTTGTCTGGTTTGGTTTAAACCACGACAGTTCATTTTGGCGCCCAACGTGGGGCACGAAGGGTTGAGATAACAACAGATCTGACCGGATTAATAGTCACTCGTCACAATGCTGATTTATTGGCTCTCAGAGTTGTTCTTGTTGATCTCACAGTTTCAGAATGCAGTACACTACTTAGAGCCGGTATTTGCTGTGTTAGTGTTTATCAAGTGTGGGGCTTGGGCTAAGGTTCTTGTCTCACTGTGCTTTATGGCAATGACTTGTAATACGGGTGGGCTCCAGCAGCAGGGCAGGACGGACGTGGCGGTAGACTTGTACCTGGCCGTCCAGCTGCTCTTCACCATTTAGTTTTACAACAGTGAAGATGAGTTGGGAAGCCTTGTTTTTTGAAACAGCCTTCTACAATAGTGAGACAATATTGGTACATTCCAGATTACCACCTAAGCTGATCTCTACATTAGAAACGTTAATTGACAAAGCAGCAAGATTACCAACAGACTATTAGATTTTCTAGAGACCATTTATGAGCCACGAACTACAGGAATGACTCTCATAAAAATAAAAAAATCTTATTTTCTAGCCTTCTGGGCAAACTTATTTTAAGTTGCAGAAGAGACATTTAGAAATACGCATAGATTCATTCCCTACTGATTATATAATAAAGGTGTTTTCATGCAAGAGAACAAAAACTAATGCAAAAGGCAAGCACGTACGATTTCTTACCTGATCATCTAGTACAGGAAGTGACAAATCAAGAAAAGACTCATGGACCAAGGATACCTTTAAATGAATATTCAAAAGTCCAGTTTAATTTTGTTTGGAAGCGGCTGGCTTGCTGTCAAGGCTGTACGTAGCCTTGTTTGCATTTAAGTCATGTTTTCACAAGTGCACACAAACGTAACACAGCTAATCTACCTTGACAAACAGCTATCCATGACTAAAATATAGCTTTATAACATAAGGGAAGAAAGATTCCAGCCAAACCATGCTCCTCTTTGAAATGCATGTAGCTAGCTGACTCCTAGAAGTGAATTAAATGAAAAAAAAAAACCAACACCAAAAAACACTTCACTAGTTTCACTTATATCTACATATAGCTATTTTGGTATTCTCCTACATTACATAAATTACATAGATTACATAAAATCATACTCTAGGCTATTAAAAGCAGGCAATTTACTTACGGTTCTGCATTCCTCACACATAATTGTACTGGTTAATTCTCCACCAAAAATCCGATCCACAAAACTCTGTATTCCCTTTTTCTTTTCATAATCTGAGAATTGACAAAGTATATAGTAAAGTTAGTAATATTACACTGAATATACTGACAACTAATTTAGTTATGGCATACCACCTTTAAAAAAAAGTGAATACATATACAAGATGTATGGTGGAATGCGTTGGTCTGTTCTAGTTTCCTTCAGAACTACAGCAAGATTCTTAAGATTCTTTCATATACCAAAGAAATGGAAGCAAAAACAGATTTGCAGAAGACAGCTTGACTGAACCAACACCTTTACCACTTTCTCAACCCAAACACATTTCCTCATTTTCTCAGAAGTACTGCATCTCAGTAAGAGTTCCCATTTTCTCACAGGACTTAACTCAAAAAGCTGCCTGAACCTAAAAACCAAGCACCAACTTTGGTCTGTATAAGTGCCCTAAACAAAAAGCAATTTCCTCAAGCTGTATTTTCAGTGTAGCACACAATTTAAACTTAAACTTGCTCTTTGTCTTCTAACCTAAGTGATGTTGAAAAGTTTAAAAATTCTTCTGTTCAGTGTTTGTTTCCCTTTTATACCACTGTTAAGTGCCAATGGATTATTAGCTTAATATTATTAAATGAATAATTACATTCATGTGATAATATTTGAATAATTAAACACTACCCAAACATATTTTAATGTATAATGTCTATAGAATCAACTCTCTCTTAGACTGTTAAGGTTCGGTAAGACATTTAAATAGACTTAACACTATTGAGCCCTATACTCTAGAAATACACATACTCAAGAGATCCCATAAAGTTGTACAATTAAACATAAATTTTTTAGTTGATACTATTAGAGTTACTTTGGGTACTTCAATGAAACAAAGTTTTAAATTATCAGAATATCAGGAACATATATTTTACCTTTAATTTTCTTTTTCATTTCTTCTTCATTTTGTTTTTTAGAGTCAGTCAGTGCTTTCAGTATTCCAACACTTATTTGCTGAAATTTTCAAAACAAACACATACTGTAAAATTTCCTAAACTAATTCTGTTTACTAGTTAATTTCACAAAATGTTTCAGATGGAGGAAAAAAATTTCATCACCAGTAATTAAGAGAATCAATACAAACCACCACAAATGCCAGAGAAGAAGAACAACTGAGAAACAAGCTTGCAAACAAGCTTGCAACTCTAATGTTGCAATTAGGATGCAAGAAAGTAAGCCTAAGGGTAAAATACTTTTCCAAATTAAGTGAGCTTTCAGGCATTTCAGAAATTAAGAAAAAAGAACATTACGTTAGGGAGAGTACACATACGCCATGCTTTTCTGTAGAAATTTTGGACAAATCAATCTATTTCTGAAGGACAATAGACATTTATGTTAGTAGTGTTGAAGTAACCAAAGACCTTTAAAGCAAGCAAAACCGAACCTTTCTACTTGGCTTGAGCATAGAGAATAATCAGTTCACTGCCTTGTAAAATGGCAGAAAATATCATTGCCTTAGAAACCTAAACAGCACATGCAATATATGTAGGAGATACTACTTTCATTTAACAAAAGTATTCAAAGAGGGAAGTTTGTGGCCTGTAATACCCATGGTTGTTCCTTCACAACCACGCTGCTTAGAAGCTGCCCAGTTCTACAGCTTTGTAGCTCATCTGCTTGAAGTGTGTGTTATGAGCAGCACAAACCACTCTTAGAGTTCAACTTAGAAAGAATGTTCCTTCTCCTCTCAGCAGAGGGGAAAGTCTTGATCTACAGCATGAAGAAGACAGGTTTTGCAAAACTATGAAATTAGCACTCACTTGCATTTCTTCTGATCTCATTCCATCAAGTAAGTAACGAAGCAACTCATGACTGTCTTGCTGCTGATAACCTTTAAATCGTATTGCTCTGTTAAGTGAAATGATGGTTGTAAAGTATAACTGAACTTGGACAAAGTAAAAACAATTCACATCAGACATAAAAGGACAGAGTCTTAAGCATGTATGTATATAAAAGCAACAAATGTCTATATACGGTGTTTTCTAAAAATATGAAGCTAGCTAATCAGAATATGTCACTGTTAATCTTTCATTTTACTTCTGTTCATTTATATTTTGCTTTTTATCCTCTTCTTTCAAAACTTGTTACATATTATACAAATTTTACAGGCTATGATGCGAGCTCAAGAAAAAAAGGGACAAAACTCTCTGTCTTTTTTAATAGCAAGCTTTTTTCATACTTGCTATGACATGCAATTGTAAAGATACTCACTTTTTACAAACCTGAGCAAAAAGTTCCTTAGGAGTGACGACCCCTCTTTTTGTTTCTTGCATTTCTGTCAGGAACTGATACATGGCTAATGTCAAAGGACCTGGCTGATCGAGTTTTATCAGCTGAGGTTCCTGTTTTAAAGAAAAGCAACAAAGTTGTTTTGCCTTAATTTGGTGACAGATCCTTCTGGGGTAGATTCTCCTTACTTAAACACTTCAGCAATTGAAAACATTATTATAAACAAATCCTCTAAAATGGCAGTAAGTTAACCTAACAATCAACAGGTGGATTCTGTTGAGGTGAAACCAAAACACTGGGCTAAGAATCATTAAATATTTACTGCTTAGTTGCAACTCTGGATTTCTTGCTTTTATTAGGAATAAAAAAAACCCAACAATTTCTTAAAATGCACAACCCTTCTTTCCCTTCCAAATCCCTAACTGTAATGAGAGGTGTGTTATTCAATTGCCACCACAAACATCCTCTAGTTTCCTATTTTGTATTTAGACGAGCGACACTGTAGGAAAAGTTACATATTTTCACCCTTTAAATAATCATAATGTAAGTACTAACAACTGACAACTAATAGCTAATGAATCACTGCTCTTTCACTTTGAATGAAAGAACTCTGTGGACTTCAGAAGCAGCTTTATGGAAGTTCCCACTGATTTTACATCTTAATCTTATTATTTAGCTGAAACAGATTTAAAATCCAGAGATGAGTGCTTCTTGATTCTTTAACAGGCTTGGAAGGTGGAAAGAAACAGTATGGAAGTCGAAGGATATATACCATGGATAACTCAGGTGACTCAATTTTAACTGTTGTGCCAGACATTTTAGCTTCTTTAAGGAGCTCCCTCAGGACTGGAGTTTGTGATAAATTCTGCAGAACATGAAAGAAAAAGGTTGGTAACTGGGAACAAGAGGAAGAGCAGTTGAGTTCCACTGGTCATGGAACTGGCAGCAACCAGATTAGTATCAATTTATTTTTCCCAAATACAGAACTAGAGTGGAAACCATCACTCCAGAAATTCTAATGGTGTCTAACAGTTAAAGGTACATTCCATACAGCTAATGGGACTGTCAGGTGTTCTCTCTGTATTATTTTAGATTGCAGAAACCCTAAATTCTTCTACAGACTGATCTTCTATTTCCTAGTGTCTGTTTTCTAAAAATCAAAAGGTAAAATGGAGTGTGTATATTTGCTTGGTTTAAAACATGTTTAAAAAATAAAACAAACTGTTTACTAAAACCTGTGAGGAGGAATTTTGAGTGAAGCTTCAGTATCAAAAGCCAAAGAGCACAAGATTCATTTGTATTACAACTTGCATGTAAAGAGCAAGCTTATTATATCCAAACACTGCTTAGATGAGCAAGACACACAAGATAGCAATGCAATATGCTCATCCTGTTAATATTTACTTTTGTTTGATTTCCTGTTGCCGAGAGAAACATTTGTGTTTCAGTAAACACACATGGTGTTTGGGTATTAATGTCCTATATTCTAAGAGGTCAGCAAGGGCGATGTGCCAGACTATTTTTTTATAAAAGCAAGAATTTGGCATGCTCAGTCTACATCAGCAAAAGATGCTGTCCCTCAAAGATAAGGCAGTTTGTTATATTTTCCCTTCAGCAAGTCTGAACCTGCAGCTCCATTTCTTTGTATTTCTCTGGGCCAACACACTACTTTTAAAAAGAACGCTTCATTCTTGGCAGATATTAAAAATAAAACAAAACAAAAATCCCAAACATTTTAATTGTGTCATTGTAAAGTACTGGTGGCAGCAGAGTTGTGGGCTGACTGACTTTGGCTTTTTTGTTTTTTTGTTTTTGTTTTTTTTATTCAAAGGCTTGGGTTGTTTGTTGTTGGTTGGTTGGTTTGTTTGTTTTTAAGGTTTCTTTTTTAAGCAGTAACTACCATACCTGCATCACTGCATTAAAGAAACATGTATTCCCCAAGTTACTAAGTCCCTTCACAGTCACTTCCGAGTTAGTACTTGAGTTAGAATTCTCTTCTTTAAGTGAGACTTCTTTTTCTTGCTCATTTTTGCTGTCCTTTTCTACTTTTTTATTTTCAAATTCTTTGTTCTCTTGTTGCTTTTCTACTGAAATAATAAAGAAAAAACATACCACATATTACCCAGTAACAGGGAATGTGCTAAGAAAAGAAAAATAGGCATCAGCAATTTATGATGTTTAAAACTTAAACATATAATTAATTCTGCAATTGTGTAATGCTACTGAGGTAGGTTCTTAAACTGTCTAGGTAACAGGAGTTGAAAAATAAACCAAACAAAAACATCAACAAACCCCTGAAATGTCATTTCAGATCAGCATGCAATTTAAACACGCCACTTGGCCCACTAGCCATGCATACCATCAATCTCTGAAACTCTGCATGTGTTATCTGAAGTTTAATTCCTGTAGCAAACCATATATGTTAGGGCTTTATACAACATCCAACATGATGGCATCTGAGATACCTGTTTTGACTGAAATGAAATGCACAGGCCTCCCACTGTGAACGCATTCACATGTTCATTTCATGAACCTAGGCAGATGAAACTGGAAGGTTTATATTCTTTAAGACATTAAGATATCTTCCCTAAAATTACTTCGGTGCGTAGTTCAAAATTTCAATGACCATAATAAAACCATAAAGGAATTCTGGTTAATTTTCAGAGTAACACCCACACTGGTTCTGACAGTTTGGCAGTCTACTATTGATTCAGTTTCTGACAAATAGAGCTGTGAGCCAAGATTAACTTTAAAATAAAGTAAAACCAGCTCAGAGAAAGAAAGGGCAACAGACAGTACAATCTTTGCAGATGGACAAGAAACGGATGGACAACAACAGATAGAACACCTGAAGCAACAACTGCAACCAGGTATTCATTTGTTTTTCAGTTCAAACCTGAAAAGGAGAATTTTGGGAACCAATATGAAGGTCAAGGATATTAGATGCACAAAAACTATGCATCTGGAAAAGACTGACCAAAACCACTCAAAGATTCTGGTCTGTGCGGGAAAACTTCAGCTGCTTCCTGAACAAATATTTGGAGACAGTCACTTGGCATTGCTGGATGGTTGTGATCTGTTTCCCAACAGGGCTACAATTTCATCCAAATGTGTAATTTTTGATAGCTATGAGTTACAGCATTTATTTTGATATGCAAATTCTTCCAGGTTTTCTAGTGGAAATACCTTGTACAAAGCCAGTTTTGCCACTGTGGAAAGTGGGTGGTTTTGCTGGGTTTATCTCCTTTTAAACAACCACGTTTTACAGACTGTGGGCTGAACATGCTGTTTTAGGGGAGTTCTGAAGGCACTGCAGCTACCTAAACTAAATGTACAGACCCAGCAGACAAATCCTCTTGTATACGCCTTCATGTGCAACAACAGCTGGAGACAGTAATTCCAGCTGATACATTCACAAGTACCCACAAAAATACTTTTAAACATTCAAAGTATCCTTCGAATCTCAAGACAGACTAAGCAATTCTGATGAATAAACACAGCACTTCTAAGTACCAAAAGTCAATGCCTTACAGAACAACTGAGCAACGCATTAAAAAAAAATAAAAAAAATTGAAAAATGTCACAGTAAAATTGTATTTTTTTTCCCCTCCTATTCCTGTATTTCTGGTCTGTAAAAGTTTAGGAAACACTGAGCAAAATCCTGGTCCAATTAGGGGCACAGGTTAAAACAGTACTTATGCTATCAGAACTCTGACACAGGAGGGAAAAATGAAATCAGCTTTTTACTTTAACTACAAAATGCTCCAAAAGTTAAATCTAATTTAGTGTACATTCTGGATTTACAGTAGTGTCTCCTACATTTAAGGGACTTTGTGATTTACTGCATGCATACTACAATTATTTACCTGTATGTGATGAGCCAGTGCAAACTTGTTTTCTAATATAATCCACAGTCTGGCCCAATCGGCTTGAAGTACTATATGGAACTTCATTATCACATATGTAGCACCTGTCTCCGCCACCCCAAAAAAGAAAGAGAATTAATCCTATTTTTTTTCTATTGTTTAAAATTCCTAAACTATTTGCTTGTTTGATGCAGTTCATTACACAAAATTACAAGATTTATTTTAAGGTTTAGAAGTCTTGGAGAAGAGTTCAATCTATTTCTAATCAAGAAATTTCTAATACTAAATTATTTCAATGACTGGAGGCTGTGATTTACAAGTATAAATTAGACTCTGAAAAGCTGTGCTTAGAAACCTTGTTGCAAGTAAAATAAATGCAGGGAAAATTTTGCCAAAATCAACAAAAATATCAGGCCCTAAAGGCAATTACTTACATTGTTATGGCATGGAAAAATACTACGAGTATTCTAGCCAAGCAAGTATTTAATTTTATTTAAACTGGATAAGAAATAAATTGTTGCCCTCCACTAGTCCTGCACATTTTTATTTGCTCTTCCATTGCTGATACAAACATATTTGTGTCTTTATGAGCGAGGAAGTGCACGGTTAGGCCACTAGTCTGTTTAAAACAAAATTGTGCAAGAAGCTGCAGTGATAACGGCTTGAGTAAAATTCTGCCAGAACACATACAGCTGAAGGAGAGTTGCATGTATAGATTTTTGCAATTCTGCCAAATCAGCTCTCTGAATAGGTGGCAAAAAGTATTGAAGAAATTGCAAATACTTCACATCTTGAAACACACCAATTACAGTTCTCAGGCACAAATGCATTTAGCAGATTTCAGGATTACCATAAATCAGACTATTTTCTGATATTAAAAGCAGTAAAAGTCTGCAGCAAAGTGCTTCCCTAAATCTCCAGCATCCCTGAAATTAGCTGCAATTTTTCACATTTCTTCATGTCATAGTAAGAAAATTTGCTCAACTTTTGTACCCCTGATTATGTACCTATTGTCCGTCTGGTTAATTATAAAAATAGGCATTCTTACTCCTGAATAAATGATAGTTATTTTTCCAAGGTAATGTTTAAATCATAAACTTTTATCTGTCAAAAATTTGGAGGTAACCTTGAAGGAATCAAGGCATTGGAAGAAGCTGGCTTTTTTTTCCCATTGATGGCTGTTTGACTGGTAGAGGGAAAAAACATAAGTAGGTCCAACTGCTATGTCATGCCAGTAGTGAACATGCATACAACAGCACTTGTCGTAAGCCCAAAATAGCAGAACTTAATGAATTACTAGAACTCTCCTCTTTCTCTCCAAGTTCAAAACATTTGTTTTAACTGTTTACAGGTACTATTTAAATGCCAATTTCAACCACAAATGCATACACACCATAAAAAGATTTATTCACACATTCATAGCATTAATAAATTCTGACCAAAACTGGTTTTGCTTTTGTATACCAGGCCCACTGTGAAATACGGTTCTTGACTATAGGTTTGATTTATAACAATTTATACCAATCACTGACTAATTTCTTGTGCAAGTTTGTACAACCAAGAAATTCGAGAAGCAAAGTAAGCAAAACAACTTGCTTAAACAACTTCCTCTCAGCTGCAAGCACTTAGATTTAAAAACTAAGTTTTAGAAAAGAGAAAATAAAGCACTTCTAAACAGTATTTTTAACACTAATTTAAATTAAAAAAGTTCACTAATTCATTAGTAATACATGCAATTAATATTTATTTTCATTCTAGAGTTCAATGAAAATATTGATCATTACACATAAAAGTGTTTAACATAATCAAGTAAGATCTTGTTATATAAAAAAAGATTCTATAAAAATGAACAGTGACAGATAATGAGTTCTAAAAAAAAGGGGTACTAAGCAAAATGAAAATTCTATGTCAGGCACAGTATTTGTGTATAGCACAGTTTAGAAAATTAAGGTTTCCCCTTATGTAGTGCACTCTTCCTTTTAAGAGAAAGATATGCTACCAGGGAGATGCAATTTGTATTAACTGATCCAGTAGCATCTTGTAATTCTACAGTTGTGCTTCTTAAACTTTACATATGCTATTAAGAAGTCACACTTATTGAGAAAATAAGTTTGTCATGAAGCGCACACGAAAGGAGCTTCTCCCAAAGCTGAAAGTTAAGATTTAGAGCTACATATCAACATTGGTTGCCACGTGTTAGTATTCTGACCAGGCAAAAGCACCATTTACTTGTTGGTCGATTTCAACTTCAATTACAAAAATTTTCTAGTTATGAATTTTACAAGAAAGTAGTATTTATTTAGCAAACCTCAGCAAAGACTGCTGAAAACTTTGTGTGTGGAAATGCTTTATACCCGTCTAGAGGTAAATCCTAGAATTCACAAATAAAAGAAAACAAATTATATCCCAGCCTCTGATGCCCTCTAGCTATGGCTTGTAACTGTTGCCTGACAAACTCACCACACACTCCAGTTGTCCAAACTGAGAACCAAACAATGGGGATCTGATCTTGGCGTTTCATAATGCTTTAAAGCATGCTGTTCTTGAGAATTTCTGCCACAGCCCTATAATGTTGATAACCAGAAGCGTCACAAAATCCAGTTGACTATCAATGAAACAAAGTCAAAATATAAACAAAGAATTAAAATGAAAACTGTTTAATCATGTTAAACTATTTAGGATGGTCAGGTCTCTATTTTAAGACCCTTATTTCTGCAGAGAGAAATGGTGTAGAATAACTATAAAGTTGCTCAGGGACAGAACATTTAATTTACAAATTCCAATTTGAACAGCTTGAAGAATGGAACAAGACAAAAAGCTCTTCAGCATGCAGAGGTCTAAGTTTACTAAACTAATGTGAGCATAAGATCTCACTGTAAGAATCACAAATCAGGAGCATTAACAGAAATTTTTATTTTCTTAGGAAAATAATTTGGACTTTCTAAGAAAACAAGTCCTCAAGATGGTGTTCTAGCCTTAAGCCTGCTAAATGCCTTTGTGCCAAGCTTCTAAGTACTTCATTTCCAATTCAGAGCAGATATTCTTGAATCACACTACAATAGATGAAATGATTTATGCACCACCACTTTTAAAATTATAAAAAGAATATAAGAGTTGACATAGAAACTCTCTTGTTTCACTATATTATGAGGCACTGAAAGATATTAAGAGAAATTAAAAACAAAACAAGAGATACCATATGGCCACATTTTAGACATAACCATATTGAAGGGCTTTCACTGGTCTCCTCTTCAGACTTCTCTTGTGTCTTATTATCTGCCTTGCAGTCCTGACAAACATGCCATTCCACATTCAGCAGTGCCTTTTTCAGATGACCTTGTTCTAATCCTTTACGAATATGCTTGCACACAGGTTCTACAAAATAAAAAGCACAAGAAGGTTGTAGGTATCATAACAAATGGAAATGTTGAAGACACAGACAGCAATCCACAAGCTAGGACAGCCTTTCCAGAGTCAAAGAAACACTGACAATCTAGCGGATATAGCAGAAAGAAACCCTTCATTACCTCCATTTACATACAGGGATATTGTTACTGCATCCTAAGCTACAAAAAACAAAACAAACCACCAAAAACCCCCCAAACAAACAAACAAAACCAAACCAAAAAAATTATCACTCAAACCCACATTTAGTCAGAGTTGTTGACAAAACTTCTGCATAAAAACCTACCTACTGTGTCAGGCTGTGGGCTTCTGTTATTGTGGCCTTGTGACTCCCACACCACCCAGGATGCAGACACAACCCACTGCCATGATTTCCAGCCACCAAGGCAGCACCTGGCTGGCCTATAAAGTGGAGGTTATGGAGGTTGTACTTCTAGCTGAGCTGCATCAGTGAAATTATACAGCAGACTATGGTAGAAGCAAATAGTAGAGTTCTCCTGCCTATACCATTATCACTCCACACTACAATACTACACCCTTCTCGGAGCTGCACCTTCTGGGCATGGTGTGAACTCCATCTATTTAACCACATTCTGTTAAGAACGGCTGCACTGAGACCAGGCATATGTTGCTAACAGCTACTATCAGGAGTTTAATTACCTTATTTCTTCTTTGTTTAATTTTTAAGATTGCTGGTTACACTACACTTGCGTGAAGAAAAGCTGTAAGCTTGAGTCATGAACAGAGAAACTGCAATTGACAAACAACGCATATGCAAACTGTTTCAAGATCTTCCAAATAAAATGAAAAAATAAAAATTATAAGAGGAACACATTTTAATCCCTCCCCTTTTTTCTCCTGTGCATGTTTCTAAGACATTTAGCCTACATCAGCCTACAATTCTTCACTATTTGCAGTTACAAGTGTCTAAATTTGCAAATACAGGGTCAAATATCTGACAGTGCAGTTACCTCAAAAGTAAAAAAAAAAACCACCCCGTGATAAAAGAAAATGCTGTATGAACTTAGTATGTTAAAAATAAAATCACATTTTTATGAAACTTATTAAGAATTATATAGCTGTTTACATAATTAAACTGTCTTAAGTCCTTTGCTACAGAAGAAATTTTATTGCTCAGATGGTGTAAAAACCTCAATCTATCTTTGTTGGGGATCATATCCAAGATTACAGCTTCGAGACAGGAAACTTCTCTTGGTATGAGCTGAAACTGGTGAAAGGTTTTGTATCTACAGTTCTATTTCTGTCCAAGATTACAGGATTTTACCAGACTACAAGTGCAAGCCAATAAGAGCCAAATACAGGCATTTAGATACACTCTTCAAGCCTAAAAAAAAACAAAAAACCAACAACAAAAAAACCACAAAAACAAAACACACCCCCCCCCCCCAACCAATCAAACAAAAAACCCCAGCAAACAACCCATAAGCTTCATCTACAACTTCAAAACTGTCTTTTTAAACAAAACTTTTGTTTATTGCCACTACTACTATAGTGGAATTATTTACAATGATCAGTCTTAGTTTACATTTGTGGCTTTAAAGGACTTTGTCAGGGTAAACCAGCCTACTTTTAGCCAAAGAAGTGAGATGTCATCAGCAAATGCAACATAACTGATTTCTTTGCTGGAACACTCACAGCAGACATTGACCTTGATTTCAGGAAGAAAAGACAAAAGAAGCTAAAAAGATAGACGGCAACACAAGACCAAGACAACCAGGAGACCAAAGTAAAGTAGATTTAAATTTAAAATAGGCAGGCCATCACACCAAGCCTCCTAGCTAAAACTCTAAGTGCCCTCTAATTAACATGGCCCAACTCATTTGCCCAATCAGGACCAACAAAAACGATGGGTAAGACACAATCTGTGACCTGGTCAGAAAAGGTGGTAGAACAGAATACTACACAGCACAAGCAAAATTAAGAGCTAGATCAACCAGGGTAAACAAGCTCATGAAATTTCAAAACAGGGGTGAGCTCCAGTAGAGCTAGAAGGGTACCATGAATTTAGGATTAGGAGCAGAAGGCAGGGATCAGAAGGAGGTTTTAGCCAAGAAGCACCATGACTAGAGAGCTAAGATGTCCAGGGACAGTACTAAGCTAGGTGCTAGTGTAAAGACAAATGGTTTCACAGAAACGTTTTAATCACAATCTTTTTTGCTGAAGCAAGAACCTTCTGCAACAAAATCTTCATTAGGAAAATACTACTTAAACCTTTCACAACCAGTTTGGTAGCTGACTCTGCAAACCCTTTATATTCTGAGGAATTTCATACAGTGTATGACTAAAGAATTGTGTGTCAGAGTTTTCTGAAAACCAGAAAATAATCCTAATTTTCAAGACAGGATTATTATTATTATTATTTTCTAGCATACTTAACCTAAGTAGCAACCCAGTTTCCTGGCAGTCCAGTTTCAATTATACAAACCTATACTTTGTAAATGAGACTTCAAAGCCAGTGACTAATGTATAGGCCTTCTAATATTAATGAGTTTTCAAGCCCTCTTTGAGGTTAAAACAAACATTAGGACCACAAACTTCTCAGAGGAAACACACCCAGCGTATCTGGAGACTCATCAGACTGTGCAGGTTTGCCTTTGATGCGTTTCTTTCCCATATTTGTAGTCTGTAATTTTTCTTACATGGAACAGTGACCTAGCAAAGAAAAATAATAAATTATAAAACAGGCTTTGGTTTTACTTGCTCAGTGCTAAACAATACATTATTTCTATGGCCAAGATGTTCCTTGAGGTGAATTAACTTGTTTTAATTTGACTTTTCAAAAGAAAATAAATTAATTATACTTTAACATGAAACAAATGCAACTGCTGTATAAGCAAGATGACAGCATGAACTATAAAAGTGAAATGATTTAAAACCTTAAATCAAAAATATTATACAAAAGATGGGAAACTTAAGCATCAAAAATCCCATAAACCTTTAGGACTTGTACTTTAACTAATAACAGGAAAAAGAATTTCGTTTGTCCCAATTAAATCTTGAAGTTATTACAATCTTTCAGTTTTCTTTACTGCAAATACCTTGTATCTTTGAAGAAGTCTCACACACACCAATATGCTAACATACTTGAAAATATACATACAGTGGGAGCTGAAACTTGTCAGTTTTTTCACTGGGGGAGATTTATCATCGCCTTCCCAACCTATCAACCAACTAATTCAGAAGGGGTCTGTTATTTATACGCCTGTAGACCCTTCCAAACAAGAGTAATCTACTACTACAGAGTTCCAAGTCAAGTACTTGCCTTCAAATATATTTAGCTTCTAGTCTGTAGCCCCATGAGGTCTGTGCCTTAACTCACAAAAGAACATTCATAAACATCAGGTAAACTTAAAACCCAACATATGCTATACAATGAAAGCACACAACCTAAGCTGGTTCAAAACCAGGTTTCTGCAGCCTTACACAGTCTTTGCAGGATGGCCTAAGCCAGCTGTCCACCCTTAGCATAAACATGTTAGCACAGCACTAAATCTGACTTGTATAACACTCATCCTTTCAAAACCATTTCTTAGCTTGGACTCACCAGCACACCAGCCACAGAGAACAGCTGCCTGTGTGGGGCTGTCACAAACAACAACTAAAGCCAGCCTAACAGAACTGGAGAGAAGTTCTGTTTAAGCATGATAGCTGTTAGGGGTGAATTCTCTGCTGGAGCATTCACAAACCAGTCAAGTTGACAGACAGGGCAGAGAGAACTTTTTAACGAAAAACCTTTTTGAAGCATGCTTTTAGGACAAATTACCCCGTTGCTGAATGACAGGCAGACAGCCACATCATCAATAGCAGAAGTATCAGTTTTTGCAAATTAGCATTCAAAGTTTGTTCAGGAAAACAAATGACAGTTCACCCGATGAACTACACCACCCACCCCCAGCACGTTTTTCTGTCAAAATCGACAACATTTGATCCTACACGAACAACTCTAAACCGTCAAAATCCCTTCCAAATCCTTTGCTCCTGCGGGGAGGTCAGGGCAGTATGAACACATGTAGCTGTTAGTTTAACCCACACTGTCTCTGGATAAACTTGTCTAGCATACTCCTCACTAGCCTTTTTCACGGAACAGCCCACGCAAAAGTGCTGCAAAGCCAGCAGCCAAAGCAATAAAACGACCATTTGGGTGTTTGGGGGATGCTCTGGTAAGAGAGCGGTGTGCCAACGCCCAGGAAAACGCCGGGGCGCGGAAAGCGCCTGCCCCAAGCACCAGGCCGGCCCGGGCCGCCGGACAACAGCTGGGAGCCAACACTGCCTGTCCCTGAGGCAGCCGGGACCCGCCGCGGCGGGAAGCAGGTGCGCCCCGAGACTCGGCACGGCTGGTCCCGTCCCCCCACCGCCGGGCAGGTCCCCGGGCGGGCAGCCACCCCCAACCCCCCCCCACAGCCCGCACTCACCGCGCACCGGGCCGCACCACCCACGTGCGCCCCTGCCCAGCCCCGCCGCCGCGCACCCCACCGCGCTGCACCGCCCCGCCTGCTTCCGATTGGCCTGCGCCCGCCTCCCGGGCCAGCGCTGACACGCACCGCAGCCAACAGGAGAGCCGAGTGTCTCGGCCCGGAGCGGACACTGCAGAAAGCTGGAGGAGTGAGTCCAGGGCCGGGGGAAAGTCGGGCAGCCGAGGGGATAGGAGCGTGACAGCGGTACCGAAAGGCTTCCGTGCTTTACCTGACGGTGCCGCGGGATGAACGGCTTGGTGGTGCATGGCTCCTTCTCGGGGTAGCCCAACAGCTTCACCTCATCTTGCAGCCGGTTGTCAACGGTCACCAGCTGCCGTACGCGTTTCCGGCGCGTTGCATTGTGGGGCCGTGAGGATACGGCGGTATGGGAAAGCAGTGGAGGGAACCGGGATGCGGACGTGTCTGCGCATGCGCATCATGCCTTTAGCCCCTCAGCCCCGTCAGGGTGAGTTATCGGTGGTGGCGGATGTTGGCTGAGGCTCGGGCGGTAACGTCTAGCTCTCTACGGCTGTCACAGCAGCAGAGGCGGCCCCGCTCCAGGTGTGCGGCCTTGTGAAAGGGAAATGTATCTGTTGGCACAGCACATCCTGCCCCCTCTCAGCTCTGGAAACCTCGTGGGCTGTCACAGAGTGCGTTCGTGCTCCTGAACTGCTCGCATGTGTGAGCTAGTTTCGAAAGGCTTGGTTATAAAGATTTCTTAAGGGTAGTTCATGAACTTTGTCCCGTATTCAAGCCCTTATTTTCTTCCCTCATTTCCTCTTTGCCTAGGAATCAACAGAAATGACTAACCGAGAAGAAGCTGAGATACAAATTTCAGAATTGGATTTACTCTCTAGCATGTTTCCTTATGAGGAAGAGTTCCTTGTGACTGACCAGCTGGCTGTAGCAGAGCTAAAACACTATGTTGAAAATGAAGCTGCAGAGATGCCATCTTCGAAAGTTCAGTTCATACTGAATGTAAAGCCAGAGGTCTCTAATGCTTCTATGGTATGGTAAACACTTATTTTTGATTTTGTGAGGTTTTAGGGTTTACTTGACCTGAGCACTTGCTTATTTGTTTTTTTTTAGGCGGAATTCTCTATGGCCTGTGCTTTACCGTTTAAATATCCAGCTGTTCCACCAGAAATTACTGTGAGGTATGGCATTAAAAGTACAGGTAACAAAAATATTAAGAAGCTATGGTGTACTACATAGATAGAGTTATGAAAGGAAAAGACAGGCCCTTTTTGATAGTTTATTGTCAAATTAAGCCAGAAGGACAACAGTGTTGAAGAGAAATCTACAAGGTTATGATTTCTCTGTTGTCCTCATCAAGTAAGAAAAATAGGAAAACCGTGGAGGAGCGCCATCTTCTGTACAGAGGGGTTACACACAGGTACCATTCATACGTTGATGTTAAAGAGAGACTTGTCCATTTTGGCAAGGATTAACACTAGCCAAAAGAGTAAAAAGTTACTTGGTGGTCTTATTCTTCCCTTGTCAAAATGCTGTCACTTGCAGGCTTCTGGTTTGTTTTGTGGGTTTTTTTTTTTGGTTGGTTGGTTGGTTTGGTTTTTTTAATTATTTTTATTGCAACATACCTGTTTAAAGAAGTAGCCCTGCATATTGCAGGAAGTCAGTTTAGCCAGGATGCCTACTTTTCAAGTACATTTTCCTTGATTTTAATTTACAGATTGGTCGTATTATATGTGAACTGAAAGAGTTAGTACACCCATTAAGTACTGATTAACACATTTTCATAGCTAATAATGACTTAAATAATAGCAAGTGTATACCATCTAAATGCGGCCTGGGTTTTCTTGGCAGCTTGAAGTAAAACTGAAAAAAAAATTTAAAAACATCTAAATTGTAAGTGTATTACAACTGCTTTTATATTTTTCTCTAGGTCATCGTTATTGAGCCGCTCTCAGCAGCTTCACCTGAACTCGGATCTAAAAACATATTTGATGCAAAACTGCAGTGGTGATCCCTGCATGTTGAGTGCAAGGGAATGGGTTAAAGACCATGCAGCTGCTTACATTGACAAGGAGCTTTCATCTTCCTCAGTGACAGCATCGAATGCCACTCAGTCAGAAGTCATCATGTTTACTCGACTGTGGATCTATAGTCATCACATTTACAATAAGCAAAAAAGAAAGAATATTATAGACTGGGCCAAGGAGCTCTCTCTGTCAGGGTTTTGCATGCCGGGGAAACCAGGTGTTGTTTGTGTAGAAGGTCTTCAAAGTAGTTGTGAAGAGTTCTGGTCAAGGTTAGTTTTTCTTTGTTCTTAAATGTCATTAGTAGTTAGACTGTTACATTTTTCATGTTGTATATGTGGCCAGAAGGTGGGAAATCCAACCACCTTCCAGCCTGTGAAGGTCTGCAAAGTACGTGTGCTTATCATAATGTATTTCCAACTGTGAATATCAACTGTAGTTCTGGTTGCAGAAATCAAAGCTGCTAGTACCACACAATGTCTATTAATTTCTGTTTTATCTTCCTCTATATTTCACTTGTATAGCAGTGGACTTCAGTACCCTAGTGGCATTAGATAAGTATGTTGTTATATTCCTCTGCATTTGTGTTTTATTCTGCTCCCATCATTTATACTTCTGGGTGGTGCAGACTAAATGAACATTGTTATTTGATTGCAACAGCTAAGAGAGTACAAGAATATGAGAGTTCTTAGCACAGGCAAGGCAGAAATAAGCACTGAAGTTGAAACCACATCTTCATCAATTATTTTGTGAGCAATAACATTAAGGTTCTTGAATCCTGAGGCAATACAAAGAAACAAGCTCCTGCTTTTGGAAGTGTTTGCATGTGAGTGGTGTTTCTGTGACCAGCCAGGGAACCATTATCTCTGCCAAAGGTACAGGTGCAAGGAGTTTGTTGACTTCTGTGATAATAGCTATTCCATAGTATTTTCTAAAACAGTATTTTATAGGCAGATTCATATTTCTCCAATTTCTTTCAGAGTGAGAAGATTAACATGGAAAAGAATTCTCATTCGCCACAGAGAAGATGTTTCTTTGGAAGGTGGAGGACATGCTGAGATTCAGAAACAAAGAAAGTTCTCCACTTTGGAAGAAAAATGTTTTGATGCACATGGTACCAGGGGAAATCATATGGATTTGGGGCAGCTATATCATTTTTTAGAAGAAAAAGGATGTGCTGACATCTTTCAAATGTACTTTGGGGTTGAAGGGCATTGAAGGGGTTGACAATCACCACTCGTCCAAGCGTCTACGTTTGTAAGTTAATCTTCGTAACAGATTCCTTAGCTGTTCTGCAGGAGTTTATCAGAGAGGGAATTAATCATTTGTGATTTTATACGATGAATCCAGTTTTCAATGAAAACAAATATCCAGTGAGATGCTGAATAATGAAAATTAAAATAACTGCTTTATTACACTTTCTGGATGTTTAGGGTACATACCTAATTATTGGGAAAGAAAATATGTTTGATGAACTATCAGGCCATTACAGAATTATAGGTGAATGAATAGATGTAATTGTGGTGAATGCATATATGAGTAAGAAGAGACAAAATTCAAGTATGGGTATCTCAGGAGAGATACCAGAACGTTTGTATTATTTATTGCTGTTTACATACACTACATGAAAGCTTTTTTGTAACAAGCTTTTATTCTGCTTTCTATCTGGAAGTATATTGAGCTGTGATATTGACATTTTATTAAAACAAACAAACAAAACCCAAAACAAAACAAAACCGAGCTAGTCAAAACAAAGGAAAAAAACCACAAAAGGAATGAGCAAGTTCACAAAAGTCTTGCTTAGGCAAACAGGATGAGCTAGGATGCCTACTTTAAGGCATAAGAATTTTCCATAGGTAGACTTGTGTGTGCAGAGAGATGCTGTGGTATCTTTCTAATGCACCTGTAGCTGAGAAACCCAGTCTCTACTCATGTTAAAGCAGAACGTTACCCAGGGATGGGCTGCCTTATGGGAAGCACACTCCAGAGCAGGGAAGCAATCCTCACTGGTCTGAGCTTGTGGAGTTGCAGCCAAGGAACAAAGGGAGTTACACTGCAGGTGCTCTTGAATACAGTTTCAACAAAGTTGTATCAGAATGATATTTTGATTTGTTTATGGATTGTGTATCTAAATCACGTCATAAATCATAGAATGGGCTGGGTTGGAAGGGACCTTAAAGCTCGTCTAGTTCCAACCCAAGGTACACCTTGCACTAGACCAGCCTGGTCGTAAACACTGCCAGGGACAGGGCAACCACAACTTTTCTGGGCAACCTGTTCCAGTGAGTCACCACCCTTATAGTAAAGAATTGTTTCCTAACATCTAATCTAAATCTACTTTCTGCTAGTTTAAAGCTATTTTCCCTTGTCCTGTCACTGCATGCGCTTGTAAAAAGTCCTTCCTGTAGGTCCCATTAGGTACCGGAAGGCTGCTACAAGGTCTCCCCAGAACCTTCTCTTCTCTAGGCTGAACACCCCCAGGGGTTGCTTGCTGTTGATGATCTGTTAAAATTCCCAACATTCATATCTCTGGTGTGCACTCGGACACCTTCCGTACCAATACTCCTCGGTGATTTCTTTCGGCAAGCGCCGATTTGCCTCCGGTCCTTTGACAGAGGCCAGGTCTTTGTAAACGTACAGAAACGCCGCCGCTACCGAGGGGCCTGACTCGGCTGTACTGACGAGACAGCCAGGGGCGTGGCCTCGCCCCCCCGGAAGTGCCGCCTCTCGCGCCCCGGCCGCGCTCCTGCTTTCTCCCGGCTCTTCCCCAGTGTCGTTGCCGTTGCTATCACTATCGCTATGGGGGGAAAGAACAAGCAACGAACCAAGGGCAACCTGCGGGTGAGCGCGCCCTGCCCTTGGGGCCCGGGTCCCGTGCTGCCGGAGCCGCTGGCGGGCGGTCTGGACGGGGAGGGTGGCGGGGCTCGGGCCTTGGCGCTGGGGCTTCGGGCACTGTCGGGTGGGTTGTGGCCGTACTTCACCTTCCGGTGTCCTCGGGACTGGGTTGTAGGCCGCCGGAGGCGGCCCAGTCTTAGGGCTCGGCTGTCGTAGCCGGGGCCACCGCCGGGCTTTGCAGGCGACTCTTGGCCTGGGTCCGCGCTTCAGGGCAGTGTGCTTGCCGCTTCTGTGGCTTTCGTGCGGGCTTTCCAGGGAGGGGTAAGGGCAGGGGGTGTAACCGGCAAGTCAGTGCTGGTGTGAGTTCAGCGAGGTACTGGTGAGTAGTGCGTTCCTCTGTGGAGTGGTTTGGAGCACACCTGTTGTGTCTGCGTGAATCTCTTGTGCTGACACCGGGCCTGAGGTGGTGGCTAGACGGCGCTGGATTGGTATGGGAGAACTGTGCGTGAAGAGTTGTGTTCAGGTGATGTA